AAAGACTAAGAAGTAGTTGATGTAACCTGTTGTATTGTCTTCAAGTACTGTCTGACATGGCATCCCCTTTAGAGCTTTAAAAACGCTAGGTCACATGATGATTGAGTGAAGAACTAGTTGTAGAATTGCATCTCAAGAGGAAGTTATGAGTAGTTTATTGTCAATCTTTGTGCTGAGATAGCACTTAAATGATATCTGAAGCAGTAATATTAAATGATAAAAACTTAAATGATGTCTGAAGTATGTAATATTGTGTCATATATTAGGCATTTCATCATTAGTCTGTATATTGGAATGAAGAGCTTGTCAATAAATATGTGGGCAACACCAACTGACAAGGAAGGGGTTAGAATTTCAGGACATTGGTATGTTTGTTTCCTATTCGTACCATAACACATTACTACAAACTTAGTTGCTTAAAACAACACAGATTTATTATTTTACAGTTCTGTAGTTCACAGATGTGACACTGGTCTCACTAAAATGAAGGCAACAGGGCTTTGGTCCTTCTGGAGGCTCTAGGAGACAATCCATTTCCTTGTCTTTTGCTGTTTCTAGAGGCTGCCTGCATTCTTTGGCTCCTGGCACCCTTTCTCCATCTTCAAAGCCTGCAACATAGCATCTCTCTGACCCTGCTTCTGTTGTACATCTCTTTTTCTGACTGTTTTGACATTCTGTTCTGCCTCCTGTCTTCCACTTTTAAGGACCCTTGTGATTGCATTAGGCTGACGCAGATAATTTAGAATAATCTCCTCATCTCAGGGTCCTAATTTAATCATACCTGCCAAGTTCCTTTTGCCATATGAAGTAACATTTTCACAGGTTCTGGGAATTAGGACTGGCATCATTTGGCACCATTATTCTGTCTGCCATGGGTAAGTTCAGGTACAGCTCAATTAATTTCTAAAAAATTCACAGAAGCTGCTCTAGTGAACTATCCTAAAAAAAAAAGTCCGAACATGGTGACCTTTTGATTCAGCAGGGCTACTTGGGTTGGAAAAATTTGCTAACATGAAAGGAATAACTGCTAAGTGACAAAAGAGGAATTAAGGAAGGGGCCAAAGTGTAAACTAATGTTGATATAAAAACAAATAAACCCAAAACATGACTTTAGAATGAGTTGGTAGTATAAAACACTTCTCATGATCATAATTAAAGGTTTTTATTGTGTCTCTGATACTTTGATGTGGGCTGTACTAGTCTTAGATAAAACCCCTACCAATCAGCGCTTGAAACTACTGATAAGATTTCCTTCTGATAATCTTAACATTGGCTAGACCTTTACAGAAATCCTGGATCTTGTTTTAGAGTTTTTAACTTTAGAAGAATTTGGAAATCTTGAGGAAACTCTAAATGATAGCTAATATCTCTTGAAAATTATTGTGTCCAGGCATTATTCTAAATGCTTTACAGTCATCATTTCATTTGTTCCTCACAGAAGCCCTGCAAAATAGGTAATTTCCTAAGACTCAGGTCTCTTGAATGTAAGTGACAAAAAAAAAAAAAAGAAAAAAGAGAATAAGGAGGAGGTGGGGGGAGAGATTATTGGCTTGTATAGCCAAACTGCCAGAAGACTACTGCAGAACTAACTTCATAAAAAACTAGAATCTGGGGCTTGAATAATACCCAAGCCCCAGATTCCTCTTCTCTACTTCTCTACTTCTTTTTTTAGATTGATTTAATTCTTGTTAGAGAATCTGTACCTAGAATGTAAATACTGTCAGTAGAAGTGTGTCTCCAACAACAGACACATAGTAGGTGTTTCATTGGTATGTGTTAAATGAATGAATTCTTTTCTGCCGAAGAGAGTTGGGTGGAGATGTGGGGGCAGCTCAACCTTACTAGTCATTGTTTAGAGAACAGTGGAAATGGCTCTTCCTCATCAGTTCCACTTCAACAAATCCTGGTGAAGGACTCTGGCTATATCACATAATCTCTTTTACTAGGGGATTTTTAATTGGCAGCCTCCACAAGAAGCACATAGTTTGAAGGAGCCCTTCCCAGAAGAAGAGGTGCTGTTCTTAGCAAACAACACAAATGTCCACAATACGTATTCCATATACAGATTGACCAAGGTCCCAGATAGGAAATGGCAATGTCCAGATTCAAACCTGATTTTAATAGACTCTTTGTCTTATGTTCTTTCCACTTTGTCACCACATCACATCAATAAGGGGTGCTCAGTAAAGTGGTGTTGGGTAGCTTGGCAGGATGATGATCTTTTTTCAGGGAATGCTTGATCACTTGACACTTCATTGTGATATTGGTGTTCACAGATGCTGAATAACATGGTCTTGGAGTGCCTTAATAACTTCAGATAGGAGATTAAAAGAGCCAGGAAAAAATTACTTTCCTTTTTGAGTTATTTTGGAAAGACAAATGTGAAATATGCAACATTTTAGATTATTAAGTCATTTAAATAAAAGTTTTCTTTCTCTTTCTCCTTTTCTTTCGTTTGCTGTATGGTCTTTTCCACTATTTAAAAATTATATATACACACACACACACGCACACACACACACACACACACACACATATATTTATTTATTTAAAATAAAACTTGGGCCGAAAAATTATATATACACACACACACACGCACACACACACACACACACACACACATATATTTATTTATTTAAAATAAAACTTGGGCCGAAAAATTATATATACACACACACACACGCACACACACACACACACACACACACACACACACACACACACACACATATATTTATTTATTTAAAATAAAACTTGGGCCGGCCCGGTGGCGCACTGGATAAGTGCGCCGCTTGGGAAGCGCAGCGGTGTTCCCGCCCAAGGGTTCGGATCCCACATACAGACCGATTCCCGCTCGCTGGCTGAGTGAGGCGCGGGAGCAACACCGAGGGTTGCAATCCCGTTGCCGGTCCCTGGTCCGGTACGGGGGCAACACTGAGGGTTGCGATCCGTTGCCAGACACGGAAAAAGAAAAAAAAGACAAAAAAGACAAAAAAAAAAAAAAATAAAATAAAATAAAAATTGTCCTCAGTAATCACCGAATATGAGTTAGATTGCATGTTTGTACATATTTCTTGAATAAAAAAAAAAATAAAATAAAATAAAACTTAATTGTCCTCAGTAATCACCGAATATGAGTTAGATTGCATGTTTGTACATATTTCTTGAATAATTGTAACCATTTTTGCTAGTAGTACAAATAAGAGTGACAGATTTTATGAAAAAGTAATTTGTTATGAGCCAGTTTCGTGGTCTTTGAAGAAAGGCATATAAACGTTAGTATTGCTACTGCATTGGGCTCATCCCAAAAGGAGCAGTATATTTAGTATCTGATTTTGGAAAGATACTTTCAAATGTTGCTAGATACAGAGAGCCCTCAGTTAATGTCTTCTAGGAATGTATTTTGCTAACATGTGTTTTTTAGAACAGAGCCTTAGAGTCTATTTTCCGTAGCATGTGAAAGAAATTAGTCCATATTTGGTAACATGCCAAATGTACTAGCTAGAGAAGTTGGATTCAGCTCTTGAAAAGTCGGTTTTCGTGCCTTCACATGTTGTACACATAGTAGCTATTAATTTCTTCTAATATGATAAAAATGGGACATTGAAGAAAGTGAAATTAATTATAGGTACTAAAAATGGGGTTCATTAGAAAAATTGTCAGTGAGTTTTGGGCATGTTATTTCAAAACTGCTAATCTTAGTTTTCTTTAAAAAAATTAGTTACTTCGGTGGCTCAGTGGTTGCCAGCCTTTTTTTTTTTTTTTCCTGCTTTCACTTCACTAAGGAATAATACTGAGAAGTATGCTATGGGGCAAAAGTTGGTGATGATTGTGTTGTTTATACCCCATGAGGGGAAAATTTAGTTTGAAAAAGCTTTTCACTAAGAGTTTTGCTAGTTGTTTGGTACTGTGAAAAACACCTAGTTTAGTAAACAAAATGACCTTTATTTTTATTATTATTACTATGGCATTATTTCTGTTTTCATATTTTTGCTTTATTCTAAACATACAAAGCTAAGTGAGCTTTTATATTTTTAAAAATTTATTTGTTTGTTTATTTCAGCTAAGTGGACTTCTTGAAAGTTTGATCATTTATAGCCTAATTGAAACACAACCTAAAAACATTTAAAAGCAAATTTAATTATTAAACTTATAATAATTTTTGAGTATATTTTTAGTTTTCTAGAAATGATAATTTTGTATTTAAACCAAATTATCTATTATTTTTTTTTTTTTTTTGGTACAAGGGTACTTAAAAAAGTTCATGGAAAGATTTGTATTATCTTTTAATTCTACTTTTCTACAAACATTTTGAAATGCCCTTGTATAGTATAACATAGCATTCTATCATTTAGAGCTATGAAATATTCAAAAAATTGTGTACATTTCTAGTTTTCTTTAGTTGAAATGAAGTTTTTTCCATGTAAATGGCCATGCTTCTCTATGACTACCTTTCTTTCTAGAAATCTCTGGTAGGCTGTGTTTTATCCTGAGGTCACTGTTGTCTCCCCTTAGATTTACTAGTGTTGTATTAATGACTAGGTGTCTACACTAAGCTCCCTGAGACATCTGTGGCCCTTTGTGGATGCCAGCAACAAAACTGGTTTATATGCTTATCTCCAAGGGAATTGGAGAGCTACCATCAGGTTTGGGAATTTAAGGAAAGGATTAAGTGCAGCTTTTGGCACCAGTTTACCCTCATGCTGTTAGGTATGTAAATCTAGTTGGTACCAGGTCTAGTGGCTGAGCCTGCTAAGTGTCCCTATCACCAGTTTCATAACTTTGGGTGGCAGGCCACTTCCCAGACTCCTTAAGTCTGAGTTAGGTGTTCCTCCTTTGTGCTCCCATTGAAACCCTTTCACATGTCATATCCTGTATATCAGGATTGATTTCTCTTTGCGTGTAATCAGATAATTGAGTGAAGTCTGACCAAGTAAATCTTTGGAATGTAATTGACAGGGAGAAAATCTAAATAATATTTTTTTCTTTTTTTTGAAAAGAAATCATCATTCAAGTCATCATGATCTAAGGCTAAAAACAAAACAAAAACTTGTTTGGATTGACTGAATACAGTTATTAAAAGTAAATATGGAAAATGAACCAGACCATGAAAATGTGGAACAGAGCCTCTGCGCCAAGACTACTGAAGAAGAACTGAATAAGTCTTTCAATCTAGAGACTTCACTTTCAAAATTCTCTTACATAGATCTGGACAGGGAACTGGAGTTCAAAAATGATCTGGTAAAAATTTCAACTTTTATTAAGTGATGATGTTTAACCAGAGAGTTGGTTAGAGTGTGCTATGTGATTCAAAGGCTCTAAATCTATCATTTTATGTGGGTTAATAGGAAATGGGTTAATCGGAGTCTGTGTACAGTTTTATGAGATAATATCACTCTTCATCTGTATAGTCCATTACAGTTTATGAAACACTTTAATTCATGTTGTCATTTGAGCTTCACAACTCTTGCACCACTCTGATAATCCATTTTATAGATGAAGACACTGGTCTGCAGCTATGTTAAATGACTTCTCAAGGTCACAGAGCTAGTGGTAGGTTTAGAATTCTTGCACTGTGATTTTTTTCCCCATCGATTCAATATTCTATCTATCTATCTATCTATCTATCTATCTATCTGTCTGTCTGTCTGTCTGTCTGTCTGTCTGTCTATCTATTTTTTGATTGGTAAGGGGATTGCAACCCTCAGCACGGTGCTGTCTGCACCACGCTCAGCCAGTGAGCGTACCAGCCATCCCCATATAGGATCCAGACCCACGGCCTCGGTGCTACCAGTGCCACACTCTCCCAAGTGAGCCACAGGGCTGGCCCTATATATATATATATTTAAAAAGATGACCGGTAAGGGAATCTTAACCCTTGACTTGATGTTATCAGCACCTCGCTCTGCCAAGTGAGCTAACCGGTCATCCCTATATAGGGATCTGAACCCGTTCAATATTATATTAATGGGTTTCTGTGATTATGAGAATATTTAATAAGTTGCTTGACCTAATCATCTTTCACCATAATTTATGAAATAACTAAGAAATGTGATGTCAGACTTGCATATTGCTTATGACTTATGTCTAAACTTAGAAAATTAGGGATTGTCGTAAGACATGCTATTTTGTCACGTTTAAGAAAGCACATGTAAATGTCTTTCAATAGAGGCTTTCTCAAAAGGACTGTCAGGATAGTGCAGTGAGTGCATATATGTTCTTGACAGTTGTAGAAAGTGTGGATAGGAAAGGAACATAGTCTTTTGACCTGACCGACCCTTATTAACATGGCTTATAGAGTTCATTGTGAGTTTGTGGAGGGTTTGTCTTTTAATTGATAATAGTTCTAATCAATTAAAACACTCTCACAATTATAAGGGGAAAGGCATCATTATGAGAGCATTAATTTCTTTTCTTTATTTAGATTGATGACAAGGAGTTTGATATTCCTCAAGTTGATACTCCTCCAACACTGGAAAGCATACTAAATGAGGTAAGTATATATTAATGATGACTATCATTTTGTGGCATTGATTTTAATACTTTCTGGGTTAGTTACAGTGTGTGTATTTGGGTCTGCACTATCCAGTGTAGTACCCACTAGTCGTATGTGGCAATTTAACATTTAAATTAATTACAGTTAAACAAACATTTAATTTCTCAGCTGCACAAGGTACATTTCAAGTGCTCAGTAGCCACATGTGTCTAGTGGCTACTATAGTGGACAATGTAGATACAGAATATTTCCGTCACTACAGAAAGTTCTGGTGGACAGTGCTGGTCTAAATTGTGAGCTTCTTAAGGGCAAAAGCCATGTCCTGTTTATTTTTACAGTCCCATTGTGCCCAGCATAGTGCCTAATAATTGGTAGACTTAAAAAATATATTTTAAGTAAATTAAACTACTAAATTCATGTCACTCTTGAGGTTTGTGTTATGTGTTGATAGTGATTGTTTATCTCCACCAGTGATATTCAAATAGCTCATCTTTTGATACTAAAGAGCATCTTACAACCTTGTAATGAGCTTCATCACTCTTCTACATGAAGAAAGTTTATCTTATGAATACCACCTATTAAAAAGTTTTTCAGAGTTTTGAAATGTTGGTATTCTTTTCTGAACTGACAGATCGAAAGGCTTCATAAGGGAACTTTGTGGGAGTACATATTTGGTGAAGTTTTTATGTGCCCTGCATCTGCTGAAAATTCTTTAACTCTGTCTTCCTGAACTTTTAAAAACTCACTTAAGACTTATCTTGGAGGTTTTAGCTTCTAGTTTGAGAAAGACTTTTTTATGTATAAATCTATTTCAGATCCATACTCATGTTTTCTAAAAGATAAGGATGCAAAAGTTCTCCAACAGAAACCCCCACTGATAGCTCTGAGTGAGTTGGGCTCTGTCTTTATTACTTCTTTCCCTATACTTTTAGTGTTATCGACAACACTTTACTAGAGTGAATTGTATCTTTTATTTTTCTTGTATGGCTTTGATTTCTATTTTTTATATCAGTTTGATATTGCTGTTACTTTGAATGTATTTTAACTTCAAAAATGTTCTGTATAACCTGTGTTGAGACTTAAGCATTTTTTAGTTTTGACATAGAAGGCTTTGGTTCATGAAAGAATATCCTATTACAATGAAATGTCCTGTGTTTATTACTTTCTAATATAGAGGAAATCTTTCATTAAAGGTGAGGAGATTAATTTTAGTTGATTTTGTTAGCATGATCGTAACCATATCCTCATTTCAATTATCTAAGTGTGGAATAAAAATATTCTTAGAGGACTGCGTATAAAGCCCTATTTGTACATTTTTATATAAGTATTGGCAAGGAAAGTAATGCTCATATGAATAAGCTGTAGTTCATAATGAAGGAAAACTATCCTTGCACAACGGTCTTATCTATGAGTAAACAGTACAGTCATTAATGGTTTACAGAGAAGATAATGCTGTCATCATTCTCAATAGTAATTTGGTTGCCTAGTGTATTTGGGTCATGATATTAGATGTTAGGGTTATAAAGTGCTGTATGACTGTCTCTGTCCTTGAGAGAGAAATGAAGTGAGACTGGAAATTGGCCAGCCTTTACACCTCCAGGGAGATAGGCATGTAGACAAGTGAAAGAAAAAATAATTGAATGGAAACTATAAGGTGGGCTGGGAGGAAGTATTAAAGAAAATGATTTTTCAGAAATGAAAAGGGCAGCAGTAGAAAGTGTAAATAAGCCCTTGCACTAGGGTATATGGGTGCATATACTCTATAATGTTCGTTAATATCAACCTGGAGGGAGGCTGGGAAGAAATGGATAACTAAGATATTTTTTTAAATGGAAAGAGATTACTGAAAAGAGTATTTTTGTCTGTGATGTCACCTTTGCTATAAATCAGGTGATCATAAATGTGAGGGTGTGATTCCATTGGTCTATCTGTACTTGCCCCAATATCACATTCTAATGATTGAGTCTTTATAATAGGTCTTGATATCTGGTAGTTTCAGATCTTCCAGCTTTGTTGCTGTCTTTGAGATTGCCTTTCTTATTCTTGGTCTTTTGCATTTCCATTTATGTTTTAGAATTAGTTTACCCGTTTACACACACACACACACAAATCAGCTGAAATTTGATAGGATTGTGTAGATTTTACACATCAGATTGGGGTAAATTGATATCTTACCTGTGTAGTGGTAGTTTTAAATTCAGTCTTGATATCTCAATTCTTTTCTTTTCTTCACTTTTTCTTTAACTTATCCTGTAAGCCAGCCTTAACTCAGCTGATCTGTTTTCTTTAATCATGGCTGCTTAAGAAAATCAAATAAGGGTATGATTGACTCTCTTGCTTCAGACCTTGGTTTTTATTTCTGAATTATTTCTTTTCCTGTTTCCTATAGTAATTATTTCAATCTTTTAAACCCTCAAGTAACATAATGTCTCCTTGCTAGTCCTAACTCTGTTCTTCGCAGACTTATGAGTAGAGATATCTGAAAAGCAGTTGTAAATATGGACTTAAACGTCAAGAGAAATGTTGATGCTGAAGACACATATTTTGGGGCCATTATCATAATATGATACTTAAAGCCATAGGTATGGATGAGCTTGCTCAAATAAGAAGTGTGTGAAATAGGAAGAGAAGAGAGCTAAGAATATAATCCTGAGGATTTACTTAGCAACAGCATTTAAGGGTTGGCCTGAGGAGTAGCTAGAGAACATGAATGATAAGAAGAGGCCACATAAATTGGAGGAGAACCAGGAAAGAGAGATTGTACTGGAAACCAAGGGAAGAGAAAGTTTCAAGAAGTAGGAATGGTCAACAGGGTTAAATGATGCATGGAGGACAAGAGTATGCTAACTGGAAATAGGCCAGTGGATTTAGCTAGTAACTTCAGCAAGGTTAGTAATCGGTAGCTTGTAATGAGTGGGGAAAGTGGAGTTAATGAGTATAGGTTACTCAAGAACATTGACTGGAAATGATAAGGCAGAAGGGAGTCCAGCTGAAACAGAAGGTAGGATCACAACATTCTTCTTTAATGTTTGTCACTCAGAATCAACTTATGCAAAGCCAAGCTCCTCATCCTGCTCAATCTGCTATTTGCCTGCTTTCTTTCTCCATTAATGGTATCACCTTTTGCCAAGTTGCTCAAGCTGGAAACCTTGGAATCTTCTTTGACTTCTCCCTTACCTCTCCTTTTCTCCCATTTAAATAGTAACCCAGGACTTTTGCTTTTATCTTAGTAATTCCCTGCCTAGTACTTTTCTGCTACATTCCTAGACTGGAATCACCTCTCTTTCCTTGATAATTGCAATAGCCCTCTTATCGGTCCTTAACAATCTCCCTGCCTCAGTATCTCCCTCTACTCTCATCAATTTATTTTGTTTTTTTTGGTGCTGATTTTAAAATGTTTATTCTTGAAAAAATTAGTTGCTTTTTGTACAGCTATACAAAGTTCTTAATGTTTCTTTGGCAATGGAATATAATGGAATTTTACAGCTATGTAGATGTTTTAGTCTGTTTTGTGTTGCTATAACAGAATACCTGAAACTGGGTAATTTATAAAGAAGAGAGGTTTATTAGGCTTATGATTCTGGGACAGCTCCATCTGGCATGGGCCTCAGACTGCTTCTACTCATGGCAGAAAGTGGCAGGCAGCTGGCGGGTACAAGCAGATCACATGGCGAGAGAGGAAGCAAGAGAGAGGAAGCAAGAGAGAGAGAGAAGGTACCAGGGTCTTTTTAAGCACCGAGCTCTTGCAGGAACTAATAGAGTGAGATCTCACTCATTTATCCCCCCTCCCTCAGGGAGAGCATTAATCCATTCATGAGGGATCCACCCCCATGACTCAATCAGTTTCCAACACTGCCCCATTGGAGATCAAATTTCCACATGAGTTTTGGAGGGACAACACATCCAAACTCCATCAGTAGAAAATCTACCTTTGCCTAAAAAACAGTATTTACTGTGTGTACGTAGTTGACTGACAAAGTTCTCTACTATCCAGCACCCTAATTAATTGATGAAATAAGCTACTTCATATTATAGGATTTCTAAAAAGAAAGAGAAAGACGTAGATCCCCCCCCCCCCCCCC